CTCGAGTCCTCCTGGTGTTATAGCGATGTCATTGTGAGTATTTTGGTTTATATTATAGTTTGTGAATAAATTTGGTGCCCTGAATGTTCTTCAACAAGGTGATTCCAACATATTGAATAAATTCGTGTGCGTGATAATGGGGCGGGAGTCTTCAAAAGGGAATGTGTTAGTGAGGGGGGAAATTATATACATTTGCCCAGCAGCTTAGTATTTTTGTCGCAATAAGTTTAAGAAATAAGTGTACTTAGAGTTTGTAAATAAATACTAGCGGTGTGGGTTACGTGAAGTGGAGTATCTATGTGGAGTACAAATGGCGTGAAGTTTTATATGAATTGGATGTCACACCTGGCAGTGCGAAGTTTAATATCGAGGGCTGATAAACATCGTATAGAGGACTCCTCAGAAGGACAGCATTTGCAAGATTGTGATGATGTCGGCAGAACTGCTGATCTGAAGTCAGATATCATAGGTCAAACACACAAAATACATATAAATTAACCCTAATTGAGGCTTGGAGTGCTTGAAAAGTGAAGCCAGAAAACAAAACGCTCAAGGATTTCACTAGCCTAAAACTTGAAGCTGTTTTCCATCTATAAGCATTGCTAAAAATTGTCACAAAATTATTAATAGTACTGAAAAAATGTTAAGAAACAAAAAACCAAAAACTTTGAAAGTTTCTTGAAACATTTTCTTTTAAAGTTTACTTAATTGATTATCAAATTATGATTGTATGACTTTGATTGGTCAAACATTTCTAGTTTTTGTTTTTGAAAATTTTGGTCATAGAAAACCATATGTTAATATTATCAGATTTTTCTATGAGTAATTTTTGGAATCCGAAGAGTTTTTTTTTCATTAGCGACCGGTATCAGAAAACAATTCTAAGTCACACCAAAAAATTTTGTGATTGTATCTGTTTCACTTTTTTAAGAATATTTATGAGCACGTAACGCTTAATTGAAAGATCCACTCCGTCGTTCCAAATATTGCCTCTTATATCGTTATCTTGTTAGAAATGTTTATAAACCGTTTTGATATCTAAGGAGGCCAGATTTTAAGCCTTCTGAAAATTTCATTCGGGCCAGTCTTGTATTGATATAACGTTCCAAAAAACTTTCAGTTGGAAAAAAAATATATTCAAAAATTTTATTATATTCTAATTAAGCTAGCGAGCATGTCCAAAAAACCGAAATCAGAAGTAAGAACTCAGTTTTACGCATGAGCATTAGTTTTTAAAGTTAAATATAGCGCCATCTGAGTCTTAAATTTCTCTGATATCAAGACGACTTATTCCCCATTCCATTACTTACTTTCTATAGCTTCTATCTGACTGTAGAAATAATCTATATGCGATAAAAAAAGTACTTTCAGATGTTGCTTCAGTTGTTGCAAAGGCAAGCTCTTCTTCAAACTTTGTTAAGCTCCGCTCTGATCCTCTTTAAATGAATTTAAAAAATTACCTGGCTTAAATTGCGCTCAAAACAATAAGGTTAGCAAAAACATTCTAACAGTTATCTGCAAGTAATGCACACCCTTTTGTATTCTGCTTTTTTTACCAGTAAGCTGGCACGATCATCTGAACAAAATAATGCCATAAAATTTTGTGGCTAACATAAAAACGAATAGCAAATGGCAAGAAAGCTCTCGGAGAAAACGAAACTGGAATCTGATGTGAGTATAACTTCTTTTGATGTAAAGAGTTTGAAAACTAATGTCCCGCACAAAGAAGCTATTGAATTTGCCATAAAGAGATTGTCTGAGCCAACAGCTATTCCTAAATTGTCCCGCGAATCTATGAAAAACTATCAAGTTTGGCTGGGAGAAACCTACTTCAATTGCAATGGTTGGTAGTCTGTTCAGTATTTTGGTCTAGCAATGGACATTTGGATGTGGTAACTCAATAGAGTCTGAATATGCAAGCAATGCTGAAACAATCTGTTGAAACAAATATTGCTGAAACAGAAAACGGACCGGTCTGAGAATGGTGCGTAAGTTTTAAAAAAAAATAAACGGTAAAAAAAGCTATATTTCAATTTTTCCGAAGTCCATAAATTTCTTGTGTCAAACAAATTTGGACGTAGTTGCATATACAAAAGATTTTTCTACTACCCAGTCTCTGGATTGGACCCAACATTTCAAAGATGGAGAGTGTTTTTTGGTAAAAATTATTTTAAAAATGATCAAAAATCAACAAATTGACTTTTTCGAGGACGATAGTTTTTTTACCAAAAAAACTATCGTCCTCAAAAAAGCCAATTTGTTGATTTTTGAGCATTTTTTAAATAATTTTTAAATAATTTTCGTAATAATTTTTGAAAGAAGCCGTTAAGAAGCCTCAGGTTTTGGATGTTATTTTTTGAGAAAGGGAAAAAAATAAAAAAAAAAACTGACAAAAATCAATAATTGTTAGCTCGCACGATCATCTGAACAAAATTTTGGCATAATAATTTGAAAAAAAAATTGGTTGCTAACAAAGAAACAAAACGCAAATGGCTAGAAAGCTCTTGGAGAAAAAAAAAACTGGAGTCTGATGTGAGTATAACTTCTTAAAACTTCAAAACTAATGTGCCGCACAAATTTCGAAGATGGAGGGTATTTTTTTTTGGTCAAACTCATAAAAATTAGTAAAAAAAGATGAAAATTCGAAAATTGACTTTTTCGAGGACGATAACTTTTTTGTAAGCAATAAGAGAAACTGTTAAGAAGCTTCAAGTTTGTGAGGTTAGTTTTTGTGAAAAATAAAAAAATAACAAACTGTCAAAAAAATCAAAAATTCCTTTTCTGCGAGGGCCATAATTGTTTCTGTAAAAAATTTCGGGCGTAGCGACTTATGGGCGTGAGTTTTACAAATACCCTCTTTTCACTGAAATACAACCTAAAATTTGCTAGCTAAGTTTTTGAGAAAACGAAAAGAAAAATCAATCAAAAGTGCCGGTTAAATATTCTTCCCACAGACTTTTTCGAAGGCTCTAGACGAACCGGTACTGCAAAAGGAGACCAGTCGAAAATGCAAGCACACTAAAGTGCAGGTGTTATTTCTATGTTTACCTCTTTTTTGAAAGTTTTGCTTCAAAAGTTTTAAGAAAAATTGAAACTTTTTGCGAAAAGTGATAAAATTTTCCAAAGCGTCTCAAAATTCGATCCCAAACATTTTCATAAACAGTTTTTGTCGAATTAGAACTCTAGCCAAACACGCCAGGCAAGGAATTTGGAATTCAAAGTAGAAACTGAACAACTCTGCGAAGACGAAACAAGGCCGACAGTCTTTGAGCAGACACCAGTTGAGCTGAAAAAAAAATTGATTTTGTAGAAAAACTTGAACCACCCTGTAAAAACACCATACACCCAGTAGTTAATAATAACTTAGTACCCACCCTAAAGTGAGTCAACTGACTTTGTTAAACTAGTTGTTAACCCGAAAAAAAGTCTATATTTCGATTTGATAACATTTGCTAATCGCCAACGTAAGCACTGATCAAAATACACTGATTTTATAACACAACGCTGGAAACCTTGTGTAGAAAAAATCTGCAGGCATTAGTAATGGGTCAAAAATTCGCAAATCTATTTAGATAAATTGCGAAGAAAGAAAGTTTTCCGAATATATATAAACCGCCACACCAAGTTGAAAGAAAAAGATTTTCTCATAATTTTGATTCGAAAGACAAATAAATTGAAGTAAGACAAAATAAGAATCATAAGACAAAATCATTGAAGTAAGAAAATATAGCAAATTTTAAAAAATGCAATTTCAAGTATTTTGACATAATTTAAATGAATACAGCTCAGAATTAAAAAAATTTTTTTTTGTTTTTAAATAATAGCCTAGCTGGGATGTACCTTCATCGGTATTGTATTTATGCACATTGATTCGAGGTTTTTAATCAGCTTTCAATTGTTTATCAGCAATTGAAAGCTCCCCCCGTTTATCAGCTTTCAGTTGATTTCAAAAAATTGATGTGCTTTCATTCATGAATGCATTCAAAAAAAGTGCGTCGATATTGTGTAAGTAATAAACTGAGCTCTGCATTGAGTTTACGAGTTAAATATAAATATATTAACCTGCAAACGCTATTTCACTGTGAATACTGATTTGTTCCATCTTATTTACTTACTGAGAGGCTATAATTCTCTGGGCAGGGGTTATAAGTTTTCTGCGCCAAATTCCTTTTTAATCATTGAAGAACCAATTTTACCTTCCATTTAGCAAATGAAATTGACGTGACTTTAAAATATTTCAACAGTCAATACGCTGAAACAAAAAATGAACGCGAACAAACTTCTAGACTTCTTTCCAGAAAAAAAATACGCAACCTGATAGTGTTTTCACTTTGTACCTTGATATTTACAAAATGACCTTCGTGTTATTTCAATGACTGTCTGGGTATCCTCATCCTGATACAATAAAACACCCTGACACAATTAAGGGTTGTTCTACAATTCGGTTTGTAACGACACCAATTTCATATTCAAGTAAGTTCTGCATCTCAAACATTTACTATTTATTTTGAAAAACTTTGTAATAAATTAAATCTCAACAAGTTACATGAAAACAGCATGGCAACTTTTACTGAAGCAGGCGGCGCATTCACTGGAAAAAAATTGGTCGCTTCATTTTTGACAGCAGTTTCTCATAAAATTTTTTTGGATGCATCTCTGAAAATTAGGTTAAAATTACATGCCGAATACTTGTGGAAAAAGGGGCTCTGACTCAGTTATGAAACAAATATGAACCATATGAACTAGTTCAAATAATATGAACCATTTGGCATGCTTATATTGCTTTCAGACTTGTTTATCCCTAAGGTGAGCAGATGATACGGCCAATTGATTGGTTTTTAAATTCTTGTTACCATTTTAATCATTTTTAGGCCGATGTTGGATAAATTAAATTCTGCAACTGAATTTCCAATTAAATTCTGCAACTGAATTTTCAATCAAACTTAAGCTTTCCAGGGATTAAAAACATAGATAGATATTTAGTTAAATTAGATCTGGAAGTATCAATTGAAATTTGCAGTAGTAAATTTTAAATAACGCATCTAAAACGACGACAAAAACATGTATCTACAGTATTATTTGCACCATGCCATTATTGAAGCTTCATAAAACAAGTTACCAAATTGAATACATTTAAATCTATAGCTTTGAAGCGACTAATATCAATTTTTCATCAAAATCTAAGGTTTTTATTTATTCCAACGTCAAAGCTCCGAAATAGGGTGACCACTTACAAAAACTAACGGTTGGAATAATTTTTACAATTCCCTGGTAGAAAATTTGATCAAAATTTAGCCCAGTGAAATTATTTCATCAGCTGCACCTGAAACAACCGTTTCTCAAGTGCTCAATTCTGGAAATCAATTTCCATCTCCAAATCTATCTAGTTTCAAACAGCTCTTTAATTGGAAAGAAATGACAATTCAAAATGGAATAATAACTAGCAAAACATGCTTGTGTCTGGTCACCCTGGGAATCATAAATGCGCAGTATATGTTATTGGGATAAACTAGGATGCATAAGTACCATTATAAATCGCATTGCAAATTAGTAATGGAATAGCTACAAATCTACCTTCTAAACTATATGTATTCAATCTCTCTGCTCTCAACTATCGAGCCACCATGATCCGCTTAAGTAAAAAAAATAGCTATTAGCACCGAATGACTTTCAATTTGGTATAAAACCAGCAGTTTCATTTTGATTTGCCGCAACGATTGTTTAAACTTCGTGAAGACAGTTTTTAAGTTTTTTATGTGATCAGCAAAATTAGAAGAGTTAATATGCAAATATGTAGAATGTTTGAAGCATTTGGCGAGTGACTATCAAGCGCAGATTCTAGTATACCATTTTGATTCGTAACACTCTCGGGTCAAAATACTTTGACCTTGCTGTTCGGCACAATTCCTCTGACCGGTAGGTATTCTGGATCCCGATTATTGACCTCGTATTTTTTAAGAACTTCTACACTACAAAAGGAAACGCTGTAGCTGTAAAAACTAACGATCTTTACTATTTCGCCGACAGCAACGTCCACTTCGCGACTGTCAGTTGACTTATGCGACTGGATCATTTGCCCCAGTCCAACGTAAAGCGGCGTTTTGTTTCCAGGTTGCACGGGTTTCAAAAGCTGCGATTTAAGTTTCTGTACACCCTCGTAGAAGGGCGTGACAAGAGTAGTAGGTAGCTGGGGGAAGTTCGATTGAAGGCTATTGCACTGATAGAAATCGACCAGGTCGGGGATAGTGGGAAAGTTTATCTCTGGAGCCACATACCATCGTCCTTCGTGGTTCGTCTCAATCCTAATATTACGGACCACTTTATTGTGATGAACCATCAAGGCAAACGTCATGGCAGATTCGCTTTTACGCACCAAAAAGGTCGAATCAGGGCAGATCAGACAGTTTTTGGAGGAAGTTTCTCTGCTTTGCACATGCGTGAACCACGGATAATCTTTTAAAGACTCCTCGAAACTATGTCTCTTCGGAGATCCCGAGCTTGCATCCACTGAGTCTGTGAGGTCAAGGTTTGGATTCGGTTTGTTCAAGAGTTGTATGTACTCCATCGGAACGTAGCCGAATTCCCCTGTTTCCATTTTACGAGCTTTTAAACCAAAATGGCAATCCATGTCGTCGTGAAATACCTCGAAGACTTCTCCTGGTAAAATAAAGAGACATTCTGGTTGGTTCAAAGGCATGGTTGCTTGGTAGACTGTACTTGGTCCGTTCTTCCAGCTACTGAAATGCTCAGATTGTGGCTGTGGCTTGACCACTAGCATTGGCTTATGTCCTGTCGTTAGTTGCGGATCTCTGGATATTCGGCGACTCCGACAAATGGCGTGTCTGGCAAGGCACTCTCTATGAGACAAGTTTTGGCAATTGCGACATCTGTAGCCCTGACAAAAAGCACCCTTGAGCAGTTTATCACAAAAGTAGCACTTTTTGACTTCGATGAAACTGGCTAATTCAAACTGATGTCTGTTGAAACAAAGTTTGTCTCGGTCGGATGACGCAGACGCGTCTTTGATGCAATTCAGCCAGTCAGACTGGAAATTTGAATTTTTACAAATTAGCGTCACATGCTTGTTTCCTTCAAACTTATGTTTCAAAATTATGAATGTTAATTGGGTGTTGTTTTCATCGACGTCATATTCAGAGAAAAGCGCTTTGAACTTGGACTCAAAGTTCTTGCTACTTGAAAGAAAATCGGAGCGATCTTTTGAGAAAAGCAACCCTCTTTGAAACAGGAAAACGTGGCATTTTTTCATGGTGCTTTCAGAGTTGAACTTGACTTTCAGTTCCCCGTCTTTGACCAATTTACCGTAGCACAAAACGTCTTTAAATAGCTCTGCGTCTTGAATTGATTCTCTTAAGGTCATCAGTTTACGCTTCAGTTCAGCATCTCGTTTTGACTCATTCATATAAGAGTTCAGATCTTTGAGCTTTTCACAGGCTGTTTCAGTTGTACTCAACTCATGGAAATCTTCGGTTGGAATCGCTTTTTTAAGACTGTCGATCAACAAATGGTACTTCAGAATTCGCTGTCCTGGAACCCGCAGAACATCACTCAAATTAAATCTACATTGCTGTATATCAGCTGTTTCTTTCAAATAATCTAGTCTTTTTCGAAATACGGCGTCTTTTGAACAGCTTTCAATAGTACTCATAGCGTCATCAAGGGCAGCAAAATAGTGGGCGTAATTTGCTAATTTTGGTTGCCACACAATAAGTGTTCCTGCTACAGGATGCCCAGAATCAACGGCATTTCTCATGTCGTCAAACAGACCGGCATGATATTCTAGCAAATTATTGATGGTTCCATTGCAAAATATTTTCAACAATTTGTCTTGGGGCACTATCGATTTCAGATTATTGCAGTAATGATTTACAATAACATCCAACACGCGAACATACTCTTTTTCTGTTTCCACTAACTCATTGATGATCAATGACCTTTTGTCTCTGGTTAGAGGACGTTCTTCACTTGAATCATCGAACGCGTCCAGACCCTTATACCGGGAGTAAATCAACTCGTCGTATATGTCCTCACTTTCGTGGTCAACTTGGCCATAGATAGTGTCTTCATCTTCAATTTTCAAATCTGATATTTTATCCTCTAGGTCTGAGTAGTTATCACTTTCTTCTACAGACAACTCGAACGATGTGGGGCTCTTACCAGAGGATATTCTTGAAGCAATATAATGAGATGATTTCGAAATTTCATTAAGAGAGCTCAGTACGTTCTCGAATTTGACCCGATTGAAAAGATCAGACGCTTCGAAAAGGCATGACTTCGGTATTTTGTAAACGTCTATACACGCCTGAAGGAAGAGATTCGCATTGCGAACTGAAGATATTTCGGATCCATAGCTGTGGTTATGTACGCGTCTGATATCAATGGAAGAAGGGTCGATGAAGTGGAGAACGTAGCACAAAACTGAGCCATCTTGCAGTAAGTCGACAAGATCGGAAAGAACTGTATCTGTCCTGAGGATTCTATGCTTGCTTGGGAGGAACCCAATTTCCTTCAGCCAGAAGACACAAGCCCTCCACTTGGACATGCTCTGAAAAAAATCAGAACAACAATGGTCACGGTCAGAATCTGCAGAAAAAATGGAACTGTTTGGCCATTTGACCGTCACACAGTGAAACTAGAAAAAGATAAACACTTTATTCATTAGTTATCATAGATTAAAAAAGAAGTGTACGTACATTGGTAAACAAAAATAAAATAATCTACACAGATACGAAGTTGAGCATCGCAACACTTGATTACAAATGAATGACTATTATTACAAAGATGTGAAATGATAACTATGATTACAAAATTGGAAAAAAAAACCTTACAAAATCGTTTTTTTTTTAAATTAAAAAAATATAGAAATTTCAAAAAAAGGACGAAAACTTCCTGGAACAAAATTACCTGCACCATTAGAAGCTTCAAAAAAACTTTCAAAATGCTGAAAAGAAACCGAACCTTTCTGCGGGACCTAGGCCAACAAAAATAATTCAGTAACCACAAAAAACAAGTCCCGACTGGAACCGAATTTCCGGGATTTGCCTTCAAGCATGGGTATTACCATTGAAGTTTGAAAAAAAACGACATCCAAAAGGTTTTGATAAACACTGAAAAAATAAAAAAAATAGCAGTAAATCAGCCAAAATTTTTGAACTCAATTACTTGAACGAAACAAGAATACACCGAAAAGATTTTAAATTCAAGAAAAAAATACCTAAATTTTAGGCCAATTTGGTGCTGCGGCAACTTAACCGACAAAAAGCAAGCAGACAAACTAGTAGCAGTAGTAGTAGTAACTGATTTAGAGACAGTTCAAGGGTTCGCACCCATGTGAGCTTAGTTTTATCTTGTTTGTGATGTTACAGTTTCCACATTTGCATATTCTTCTCCGTGTTCTTTTTTTCTTCGGAGTAGTGTCTAATAAAGAAGTGCCAGTAGAGTTTCTGCAAAGTATAAAGTATCTTTGTTAAGTTCAGCCAATATTTTTGAACTCCATTACTCCAAATCGAAATTTTATAACAATGAAAGAACAAAAAATCTCAGAATTTACAGGAAAATGTTATTGATAATTACGTAAAATATTGTGTAATTATAGTTGTTTAAATTTGATTGGTCAAAAAATTTTAGAGCATTATTAGACATGTTTGTCATTTTTTCAGATTTATGATCCTTTTGTAAATATTGTAAAAATTTTTTAATCCTGATGATGCACAAAACGTGCACAAAAGTTTGAATTAACATAATGAAATTTTTATTTATTAAGTTCATTGCGGAAATTAGAGTACGCTCGAGATACGTAGTTGAAGAGAAATTTCATCCGTCGGAAAAGTTGTCATCGGTTTTTATCAATCTTGATTTGTACAGCCTGTATTCTCCTCTTTGATTTTGTATGGTGTTTCCTAGCGAATCAATTTTATATAATGTTTCCTCTATATCATAATCATCGTTTCTCATTGAAAATAGCAAAAGAAGATCATGCATCTCGACATATAGACTGAGTGGTAGTACTCTTAGGCCAAGGAGGCGGTATTCTTAGGGAAAGGAAACTGAAGTCAGACTTAGATTTTTTTGACGCGATCCTGGTCGGATTCGAAAAAAAACAGATCCTGGTCGGATTCGAACTGCAGACAATTGTCTTGAAAGACAAGTGCGTTAGCTCTCTGCAACATGCGCAAATAAACGTATGACTTTTGATTTGAACGAAAAGTAAAATGACTCAAGTGATTGTTGAACATCAATTGCCAAATTTGAATATATTTCAATGAGAAATATTTATGCAAACTAAAAGAAAAAAATTCGGTTAATAAGCCGACAAAATTAAAGCCGACACCCAATAAAATAAAATACAAACCAAAATATTTTCGAAAAAAATCACAAGACTTGCATGGGCAAATTAAAAATCAATTATGTAATTTAACTCTTTTACCGCATTATGAAAAGATTTTAAATTCAAGAAAAAAATACCTAAATTTTAGGCCAATTTGGTGCTGCGGCAACTTAACCGACAAAAAGCAAGCAGACAAACTAGTAGCAGTAGTAGTAGTAACTGATTTAGAGACAGTTCAAGGGTTCGCACCCATGTGAGCTTAGTTTTATCTTGTTTGTGATGTTACAGTTTCCACATTTGCATATTCTTCTCCGTGCTCTTTTTTTCTTCGGAGTAGTGTCTAATAAAGAAGTGCCAGTAGAGTTTCTGCAAAGTATAAAGTATCTTTGTTAAGTTCAGCCAATATTTTTGAACTCCATTACTCCAAATCGAAATTTTATAACAATGAAAGAACAAAAAAATCTCAGAATTTACAGGAAAATGTTATTGATAATTACGTAAAATATTGTGTAATTATAGTTGTTTAAATTTGATTGGTCAAAAAATTTTAGAGCATTATTAGACATGTTTGTCATTTTTTCAGATTTATGATCCTTTTGTAAATATTGTAAAAATTTTTTAATCCTGATGATGCACAAAACGTGCACAAAAGTTTGAATTAACATTAAGAAATTTCTCATTGAAAATAGCAAAAGAAGATCATGCATCTCGACATATAGACTGAGTGGTAGTACTCTTAGGCCAAGGAGGCGGTATTCTTAGGGAAAGGAAACTGAAGTCAGACTTAGATTTTTTTGACGCGATCCTGGTCGGATTCGAAAAAAAACAGATCCTGGTCGGATTCGAACTGCAGACAATTGTCTTGAAAGACAAGTGCGTTAGCTCTCTGCAACATGCGCAAATAAACGTATGACTTTTGATTTGAACGAAAAGTAAAATGACTCAAGTGATTGTTGAACATCAATTGCCAAATTTGAATATATTTCAATGAGAAATATTTATGCAAACTAAAAGAAAAAAATTCGGTTAATAAGCCGACAAAATTAAAGCCGACACCCAATAAAATAAAATACAAACCAAAATATTTTCGAAAAAAATCACAAGACTTGCATGGGCAAATTAAAAATCAATTATGTAATTTAACTCTTTTACCGCATTATGATCCCTCAATAAGTAGTGCATTCAAGATATATGTGGTACATTAGAAGGAAGGTACATTATATAGTAATTTAAAAATAGTAAATTACTATATTGAACAGTCTATGACCAGTGATCACATTTATTTACGAATAAAAAACAAAGATGGCCGGTTGCTGTGCAGGTAGCACGAAGTTTTGACCACAAAAATAAGAAAAAAAATTATATTTTAATCCAATGTTTTGTGTGCGTCCAGCTAGGGGCGGATCTAAACGAAAGCCTGGAAAATCAAGTATATTTGACAAATGTTTATCAAAAAATTAATCTTCATCGTTCGATTTTGATTGCTGAATTTTGTATATGTGATATTTTAATTATATTTGATATTATTCATCATCGTATATCATTTTCTAAATAAATTATTTTTAAAAACTGACAATGATCAAAATGCGCGAAAACTTTTGAATTGACAAATATAAACTCTCACAAAAAATAGAAAAACATATATGAAACTTTAAAACAAATTCATAATTTTTCGATTTTTTTAAAGAATTTTTGGTTGTCAAGAAGGCGCTAAGTTAAGCTTCAAAAACTAATACTCATGAGTAGAACTAAGATCTAATGTTCAATGTCCATATTATAGACCTGCTCGCTCGATTTATTTGCTTGAAGTTAGGCACAAAATTCAAAATAAAAGTTATTTTTTCTGAGCTGAAAAAATTTTTAGGATTTTTTAACCCAAATACAAAACACATCCGAATCCAAATTTCAGAGGCAAAACAAATTGAAAGATCCACGAGAACTTTTATGGACAAAACTGACAAAATCATCGTTCTCGTGTAGTTTCTCGTATAAAAAATTATACACCTTCCAAGAAATTTTTCCATAGGTGCCATAGTTTGAACAATAGGAGCCTTCTTGGCTGAAAAAATAAAAGGCGTCATTTGAAAGACACAGTGGATCTTTCAATTGCGTTTTAACCGCTCTTCCAGATTCTGAAAGGAGATCAATCAGCTACCATAAAAAAATATATACAGTGCTATTTATAATTTTTTCTGACATCCGTCGCTAATGAAAGAAATTATTTGTAAAAACAAATAAATGAAATTCTACTATCCCACAATCTTCTAAGCAACAGTCAATTTGATTTTTGAACACCTTATTCAACCAATGAAGCTATCTAATACCAAACAAAATCTATTAGAAAGGCAATTGACTACAAAAAACACTTTGCTTGCTCGTTACTAGATCTTGTGACATTCGACCAGAATGTACGAAAACGCAGTTTCGCAATCGAAACTTTATCGATCTGAAAAAAGAGATCTAACCTGGAAGATTGATGGTTTTAATGGATTAGCAGCGTTATTTAAACAATTAGACGAATCGGGAAGAGTTGGTTTTAACTGACATGCTAAAGTTTAAAATTTCGATTTGGACGTGAACGACACGTAACCTTTTTATATTTCGCACACACTGAAACGGCAAAACAGAACAACAATAGTTGCAGTGAAAACAACTACGAGAAAACGACAAAAGATTGAAACTGTGATTGGAATTTGTCAGGAACCATTCCGAGTTGTAACGATTGTGCCCCTACAATCGTTACAATGCAGAACCCGGTAAAAGGGAAGGGTGTTGGGACGGCGTCTCCAGCATTCCGGAAAGAAATAGGAGTGCTATTTCTCCGGATTCCAGAATCCGGATGGTTCTCGGGCCCAAGAGTCAAACTGCTATATATAAACTTTTAGCTTCCTGGTCATGTCCTGAGTTGAATTTAACTAACATCCCGATTCCTTTTTTTAGAGAACGAGAAGCTAGGAGTAAGGGGAAAGGATTGATCCATCTTCGATGGAGATGATGATTTTTGTCTACTGAGCAAAAACAATCGTAATTTAATAAACAGTATTAGCCCTGCTTTTAGGAGTGACCTCGTGGTCTGGGGATACTGAGACCCAGCCATGAGCTCACTATTTTTGCATATAATTAAGTTAATTTGAGCTTTCCGGTCGAAGCCGGAAAGCAGTAACGTTTTGTCGACCCGATGTTAGGAAAACCACCAAAACAACTGGCTCTGGCAGAGA